GCTCTTTTTTAATCAATGCAGCATAATTCTCAGGGGTTTAGTTCCTCCTCTTCACCAAACCTCTGTGGTCCTGGGCTTTTTTTTGTGTTAAGCTGTCCCTTACCCAGAATGATCACTGTGGCAGAAAGACTAACCCCTCATGGGCTCCCTAAATGCTTGGCTTGCGTCAAAGACTGGAGTCAAAAATGAGTGAGTTTCCTATGATCTCTTATTGCAGCAGAAAAGGTGAAAAGTCAGCGTAGCTGTCACAACAGGTAGGTCTGTTTCAAAAACGCACCCTTCGCTCCGTTCTGAGGTGGAAAGGGCATAGATTGGGCAGGGGGGAGCTGGTTTTCCAAGAAATATTAGCGATAATCTAGGTAAAATTAGAGGGCAGATTTAGATTAGATATAAGGAAGAAATTTTTCACTCTGAGGATGGTGAGGCAGTGGCACAGGTTGCCCAGAGAAGTTGTAGATGCCCCATCCCTGGAAGTGTTCAAGGCCAGGTTGGATGAGGCTTTGGGCAACCTGGTGTAGTGGAGGGTGTCCCTGCCCATGGCAGGGGGGTTGGAACTGGATGATCTTTGAGGTCCCTTCCAACCCAAACCATTCTGTGATTTTTATAAAATGCTTGGTGGCATCCTGGCTATTAGTGAGACAGTGCTGTAACTGCAAATTGACCTGGGAGAGTGAGAGGGGTCTCGTGGGCCTCAGCATCACTCGAGATGGCTGGGGACAGTCTCTGCCTTTGCCCGTGCCAGCAGCTCTGGGCTGCATTACCTGGGGACAAGCCTCCCTCTCAAAAGCCCCGCAGCCTTTGCTGCCCATCCTGACTGTTAGAGAGGTGCTGCGAAACGGAGGGTGCTGCATTCCTGTCCTCACATTCCCGTCCTCACAGAGAGGGAATCAAAGGGGAATGCGCATGCTCTCGGCAACCTCTGACTTGGAGCGGTAGTTTCAAACAGTAACTACAGTAACTCCCCACATGTAAATTGTTTTCCTCAGGCCTGATGTGTTAAACCCCTCACATCCTGGACTGATGTGTTGCACCCTGGATGGTAACACTGAAATGCAAAGTGGCTCCTCGTTCTTCCTGGGTCGCCATGACCTGAAGCACCAGAGGATGGAGCAGCTGGACAAGACTGGCAGGAGTACCGTGTTCTGCCAAGAACTGGAGGAGCTGAATATGCAAAACAAAAAAGGAAAAGCACAACTGGCGCTTGAAGAAACTCCCCTTGTGCGGAGGGAGCGAAGGTAATGCCTTGGTTTCCTATCTTGATAGGGGAAAAAAGACCCCAGCTTTTGGGACATTCACCTGAAAGCTTCAGTTTGTCACTTCAACTCTAGGCCTTTATGTAACAAATCTGCAACCTCAGCCATAGTGAAAATGGAAGAGGATGTCCGAACGGAGCAGTAGCATTGTGATGGTCAACACGTCCTGGTCATCATCTGGGATAGATGCTCTCAGAGATCATCTATAAACCTGTAGTGATCAAGAAAAGGCTTTGTGCTGGAGAAGGTCCTGCTGACCCTCCACACCTGTATTGGAGTTTTACGGTGACGAATCCTCTGTGTGGATTCACACCGTGTCCACTGTAAACTCACAGATGATACAAAGAGAGCTGGGATGAAGTATGTGGTTCTGTAACTACTACTGGTACAATAGCACCCTGCAGGAATAAAAGAAAAGAAAAAACCCTTCTGCTTTCCCTTCCTCCAATGTTACCTGCTGTTGAGGAGCTGAAGTGGAACAAAGCATTAATTTCACAGCAGTGTAATTTATTTGTCATCAGGTGGTGCACTGAGGCAGGACATACAAGGCAGTACACATGGAGAATGCTGGCAAGTGCATGGAGGCGGCAGCAGGGGTCTGGACCTTGGCTCCCACAAGTAAGCTTTATTTCAATTACAAGTTAAGATTATTTCCATGCTTACGGAACTATCTGTGCAGCCGCTCATTTTTCCTGGTGGTGCTGGTATCCCTCACATGAGGAGAAGGGCTTGACGGATGGAATTTGGCACTCCCTCAGGCTGTCAGACTCCCTGAAGCCTGTGATATCTGAACAGGTGGGTGTTGTCCCCTCCCTGACGTGATCCTAATTAGCATCTGTGATTGCTTTAAAACAGACCAAGGGTTCCTCTCCTGTACTGTCCTCCCTACGTACACAGATTCTCCTCCGCTTGCCAGGAGATGGTGCGCCTGGCATCCATGGAATCGCACCTACCCTAGGCCTGTGGGCAGAGTGGGTGTCCAGTATTCACACACAACAGCCTACCTTGCTGTGCTGGTTTTTATCTGTTCAGTGCTGGTTTTATCTGTTCCCCTGCATTGATTTGTGCTGGGGTTAACACCGTACTGTTAGCACAGAGCTGAATGTCCCTGTACATCAGTAAGGCATGATTCAGATAAAATAATTGCCAAACAAAAGTTACATTTTGCAGCAGTTACTTCTTTAAAAGTGGTACCGGACTTAACTTTGGATTAACATATCATGATCTGGCACGTTAACAAGCAGAGGCTCTGTGACAAAGTTTCCTGCTTCAAGCAACACGTTCTAGATGAGACTGGAAGGAGTGGGAAGGAGATGCTGATTGTGAGAGCTCCCAGCTGAGGACTGTATTTTGCAGGAGCCCTAGGGTGGGGAAAGCTAAGATCTGCTCGTGTGAGGGCAAACCAGGTGGCTTTTATTAGCAGCAGGCCAGTGAAGCTGAGCATGGAGTGAAGTGAGGTAAGGTGAGGTGCTGTCTTCCAGCACGTGGGCCTCCCCTGCTGCAAAGCCTGCTCCCTTGAGTTACCTTCTCCTGCAGCCTCAGCTTTCCCCCCTTGGCCAAGCACCCTTCTTCAGGTGAGGTTTAGGTGCTGTCTTCCAGCATGTGGGCCTGCCCTCATGTGGGGGAAACTGCTTCCCACTCTCCATGCAATGGTCAATTGCAGCATCTTGAGAAAGGTTTTTCCTGCAGGAGCGTCTCCACGATGTCCCAGCCAAACTGCAGGGGGTTAGCTCTCCCTGCAGTCACTGCTGGAATGAGCTGAGCTCTAAGAGTCCTTTGCTTTTCTCTCCTTTTTCGCTCGAGTTGCCATTAAGGTGAAGAAGAGCCTGGGGAAGAGGTTTCGCAGGTAGACGGCCAGGGAGGGCGTCAGGCCAGCTACCAGTACTTCCTTCTTCTTCTGTCCCACTGCGCTGAGAACCACCTGAGCGACCTCTGCGGCTGTCTGTCCTTCGGCGGTGTTCTTGTCCATAACTGCCAAAGGAAAGCCGGGTAAGCACCAACACCAGCAGGTGAGCCCACGCTAAGCACCTTTCCTAGGAATGCTCTCTTCTAACTGTACATGGTTGCTGGAACGTGGTTTTGGGTTTTAACCCAGTTTTGCCTGGGAGCACAGGCAGGTGTAATTTGTGGTTGGGCTAGAAATCAGTATCTGCTGTCTAGGAAGGCTAAATTTTGGGGAGTTACTGTTCCTATCCTGCATCCAAAGTTGTCTTTTGATACTTCAGGAATAATCTATGTCCCTCCCCAAGGCCATATACTGCAAGCACGCTTTGGAGTAACTCAGTGATGGGGAGATGCTTTAAATACAGGGCACAAAATCATATCTCACCTCCATAGCGAGATCCATCTGCTGTTATAGCATTGAGAGAGAGGTTTGTCTGAATGTATCCAGGGCTTACAACTGTCACATCGATGTTATACTGCTCCACCTCTGCTCGTAGACAGTCGAAGAAGGCCTGGGTAGCATGCTTAGAGGCAGCATCTGAAAACCAGGAAAAAGCCATGCACTAAGGAGAAGGAACAAGGCTGAAGGAAGATTCATTCCCCTGAATGGGTTTTTCACTGCAACGCAGCTACTTCTCGGCAAGAACCCAGCAGCTGTTCAACAGCTTCTAGGTTTGGTGGTTCTTTTAGTGAATGGCAGCAACAGGTAGTGGGAGTGAGAGGCAATTTAGAGAGGCAAAATGTAAATACTCAAGCTGGAAACTGGCTAGGATCCTGAGCTTAAGCTCACAGCCATGCCAAGCACTGTGGAGCGAACCCGAGCTGCCTCCTGCTTGCGGTAAAGGAGACCTGAAGTGAGGCTGGGGAAGCGTTGGACAAAGCAGGCTGGGGCTGGTGATGCCAGTGCAGCAGGGCAGAGCTGACGCTCGCTGCCGAGCACCCTGCTGGCCTCCCCGTGCTGGGCATTATGGGCTTGCAGGGCAGGTTCAGAGCTTGGCTTCGCACAAGTCAAAACCTGATCGCACAAGCAGACAGGAGCAGAGAAGCATGGCCTAGGGCAGGATTTCCCTGCCAAATGGCTGAGCAACTCCTTTTACCCACTCCCTTTCTATGTGTATTTGGTCACTGCCACCACCCCAAGGTGGCTGCAGGGCTGACCCAGGCAGGAGCTGAGCTCTGTGCTGCCAGGCCCATGCAGCTCTGGTCACTCTGAAAGCTCTTCAGAACACACTTCTTGGTGCAATCGTACCCGCATCATCTGCAAGACCAGATGGCCCAGACATTCCAGGCTCTCCTTCGCTCAGCATCATGCCCTACCACTCTTATGCCATCCCCACTGTACTTTTCCATTTTTATGTTTATTTTCAGTGATTTACAGATGCTTGTATGCCAAATGCTCTCCTTCTAGTTGCTCCATCTTTTATAAGGCTTTTACCATTAATCTCACCAATATTATGTCTTGGCATAACTGATTTAGCATGAAGAGTTTGCTGGATCAAGGTAACTGTTTAGGCTTTTATTTTGGCATTGGTTGCACTATGGCACTTCACAACTTATTAAAACGAAAAATTCCTGCTTTCTTATAGGAGATTAACCAGGCAAACAGCCAGGATTAGATGCAACAAAATTATGAAATGAATCAGAAAGTTTGTAGGGACTCTCAAGTGTTAAGATAGGAATATCTAGCTGTTTTAATTAAGGCACTGAAAACATACTCTCCTTTCCCATCCCTCAACGACTTTAGGACAGGGCTAAGATTTTGCATTTAGGAGTGCCTTCCGCAAGAGCTGTCAGTGATTTGTGGCCACCCCAAGAATGATGCCCAGCTCTGCCTTCCCTGCGTGCAGCCAGCTCTACAGAGAGCTCAACGTGGGAACAGCAGCCAAGTATTCATTCAGCCTGGTGCCCCAAATATGTCTTCCCCTTCTTCTGCGGAGGTACTTACATGCAGATCTGAAAGGAATGCTTATTTTGCCTTGGATACTGCTGATGGCCACAATGTGGCCTTGTCTCCTCTTGATCATGGAGGGCAGAAGTGCTAGTGAAAGACAGAACAGAGCCATTCAGAATAACAGTGCTGCTGGTACAGCCGTCAAGAATCAATGCTTTCAGAGCGTTCGGAGACACCCGAGGGAATTACAAGATCCTTGTTCAGTGCAGGGATTGGGCAAGGGATCCTGCTTAGGATGCCTCTAACTGAAGCTGCAGGCTGGCTGGGACCTTGTCCTGTGAGGAGACTCCTTGTGCCAGCGAGGCTGCACAAAGGGGGTTGCTATGATCTTCCCCCAGGCATGGTCAGCAGGACTTGCTGACACCAGTACATCTTTCCACTTCCTGCAGCTGATGCTCCAGGTGGAATTTTCTGTGTAATTCTCTTCCTAGGAAAGCTACAGCTTCAGCTAGAACCCATACTACGTCCTCTAAGGTTTTATCAGCGCAGACAGGCTAACCATATCTCTCTTTGTAAGCTCTTGCCAGACCAGAGTCAGGAGGTGTTTTAAACAAGATGGTGTCTCTCATCAGGTACCTCCCATACAGTCATGCCCAAGCATCAACTTCAGGCCTGCCCATAAAACAAAACTTTCCTGCCCTCTTACACTGTATTGTACACAGTGTACAATTACAAACAGGAGTTAAGCTACGCTTAGCTTTGTTGGCCTGCAGAAGGTATCAGCCAAATCCAGTGTCCCCCTGTAATCCAGATCACGGGTACCTTTGGTGAGGGCTATAGGACCGAAATAATTTGTTTCCATCACTTTCTTGTCCACGTCCAGTCCTGTGTCCACAATCGTTCCTCGGAAGCTAATGCCTGCGTTGTTGATGAGTATGTCCACGTGACCCAAGTACTTCAGGATCTCTTCAGCAGCATTTAGGACAGTTTTAGTGTCTGAGAGGTCGAATACCACAGTGTGAGGCTTGTGCGTCTGTGAATAAACAAAAGTCAGCCAAAGACCTGTTCAGGCTGTGCTGAATGTGCTGTATGTTCATGCTCATGCCTTTAAGGAGAGATGGGAGTTCCCAGCTTTGGAAACATGGAAGCAGGGCCATCCAAACTCTGTGCAATTAGAGCCAGCAGTTCCATTTGGTAAGAACATACGACAGAAGCAGGTTGTGGTCTCATCTTTCTCTGCTCCTGTAGCCTGTTCCTTACACGAAAGCCTAGGAAAGGGGCAAGTGAGATCTTTCTCAAGTACTAAAGTTTGCTTTGTCTTATTAAAGAAAATGCACCTGAAATAGTCAAAAACGTAACCCATGTGTCTTCTTCAGAAGCCAGCAATACCTTTCTTGGCCACTGTCAGCAGAGCTAGACATCAAAAATAAAAGCCAACAGAAGGAAAGGGACTTTTCTAGGTTCAGTATGTGACACACAGGTGCAAGGGGGTCTGGGTACTCCGCACTCCCATATGCTTTCACTTCCATTACAAGGCAGGGAGTCTTTCAGACACCCTATTTTTGTAGGGTTTTTACAAGACATGACACGTGAACTCAGTGTACTCCTATAGCAATATCTATCCCTAACCACAGACTTGCATTTTTCCTATTGCTCAACAGAACAACCCACAAGAAATTCTGTAACTTCTGTAATAACACGAACAGAAATCCCAGCCACACGAGACAACAAGCCTCTCTTTCTCCCATACTTACATTTTTCCGGTGGTTGGTCACAGTAGAAAGCTCCTGTACCAGGTCTTTGAGTTTCTCAGTGTCTCTGCCACAGAGCACCAGCTTGGAGCCAGCTGCATGGAAGGCTTTGGCACATTCTTTGGAGGAAGCAAGGAGGAGAGAAAAGTAGACATGTGAATGCCAGAGACAAACAGCAGATCCACATCATACCTGGTGACAGGCTAAAACTTCTTTAGTTTTGGTGGCTTTATTACTCCTGAGGGACAGGCTGATTTACCGTGGAGTTGCAGCAGGGTGCCATTTTCCTGTGACTTTGACAGACGTGTGACAGTGGTGAGGCAGCTGGTGTGTTCACAGTTACTGTGCTGGTTTCGCAGTTGTTGTGCTGTTCACGCATCCTCCCCCATCATTTGCCTGCACCTCTTCATTTTTTACTATGTGCCCTTCTTAAGAGGGACTACAGTTACCTCATCTCATGTGGTGGGGCCCGATTTTAGGAGTTTTAGTGAACACCTCCAAACGTTTTGGAAGCTTTAGAGCTAATGGCTTCCTCAAGGTGATCCTCTTCATCAAGAAAAGGGTGAAGAATGGATGCCATGCTATTGTCCTCCTTTCAGTGCTACCAGCTGCTGAGGCGATCACGTATTCTTTCGCCCTGCCCCTCTGTGACCCAGTGAGACAAACTGATTATTTGTGCAAGAGATGACAGTGGGTGGTAACAAAGGGTGTTTCCGAACACTTAGAGTAATTCCAGCTGGTCTAGTATGTTACTAACTGGGAGTGAGGGGAATAGGGTAAGATCTTGCCAATGAGTCAGTAAGGGGGGGACTTCACTGTACAAAGGTGGAAATCTCTACACCCAAAACACACAGCGCTTCATCTGCCCACCCTGTCACAGCTGGAAGGTCTCTCCTGACATAATGGTTCCAGCTCTTCTTGATGTGAAATGCAAATTCTTTTACCACTCCCAGCTCTTTGGTTCTCACAGGCAGAGAGGACTGTTTCCTTTGGCCATTCAGTTAGGGAATACCCCTGTCCTTAAGGACAAACTCACGTGCAAAAACAGCATTAATTTAAGCTTTACTTGTTCTATAAATGTACTCATCCTAATAAAGGGCCTTGATAGCAGAGAGCACCTTGTCTTCTCTTCAAGAAGCTTTTAAAGCAATTACGGAAAGAAGAATCAGACAACGCGTCCACTCAAAGAATAAATTTTATTTGGAAAAAACAATACTGTGGTTTTATTTAGGAAAAAACTACTCACTGGTGTTAATATTGCCAAGAGTTTGAATTTAGAGTGGATGGATTTGTACCACTAGAGAAAAGGTACCTTAATGTGGGGGTGAGGGGCAGGGAGAGGAGTGGAAAGTATGGCAGGATATCTAGAAATACAACAAATGTGAACGCAGAACACCAGTTCTGGGAAGATTTAGAGGAACAATTTGACTTCCTGGCTTTTTCAGGATTTAGAGAAAAGACCTGTGACAGCACAAGAACAGCACAACTTTTTCCTTGTGTTGATGAGCTCCAGTTTATACAGGATGATTGAAGTTTTCCTTAACAAATTCTGAGACTTTCCTGCATGAAAATTTGCCCTGGTTGTAGTTTTCTTTGGGATGGCTGTGTAAGCTGTGGCTCTCAAAATTCCAAGCAATAAGAACTTTCTGCTCATTGCTGCTTTATTCCCATAGGTGTCCCTCCCACAACCCTCCACCTGTCCTGCCTTTGGAGCCCTTTTTTTGGTACCTACCTTTTCCCAGGCCAGAAGTAGCCCCTGTGATCACGACCACCGCTTCCTGGAGGTAGGCTCGCATCCGCATCCACTGCAGTAGCCGAAAAAGGGCGAAAATCCCCAAGCTGCCAAAAAGCAGTGGGATGATGACTGTGCTTGTGAGATCCATGAGTTTTCCTTTCTGCACAGTCTTCCTAGAGCCAAAAGATGAAAGGATACAGACTGTTTCACCATCAAGAAAATTACCAGAGGCTTGAAAACAAGGGAAATCCTTTTTCTTAACCCTGCCTTAGACCACCAATAAACCAAATCCAGTACAGAGGTACCTTCAACAGATTTCCCCTTCCCTTCGTTTAGACTTTCAAAAGGTCACATCAGTACCCAATTTTAAGCATTCAGTGCTAATCTGAACAACCCAGCAGGGCACTTGGTGTTGGATCTTGTCAGCTGTCATGTAACAAACTTGGGTTCAGAGATGCTGTTCCCACATGCTTTTCCCTTTTGCTCTAGATTCACTCTCTTACACAAAGTGTATTTAGAGTGGAAGCTCCTCAGGGTGGGGATATGTCTCTGCATTCTTCTGATAGTAATAAAACCTCTTAGATTTCTCTAGAACAGCCAGTACCACAGTATCTACATGGCAGAGACCAGTTACTGGGTATTATCCCAGATGGATGTAAGCCAGTCTGTCTTCTGGAGACGCAGAGTAAGTTTCCTCTCTGAGCATGTTATTTGCTTAATGCACTGAAATCTGTGCTTCTTTCAGCACCTGTTAGTAGAGACAAGTTGCCTGCTTTAAATGAACCACGTTTCCAATCTGGTGGTCCGGCCACATTCATGCTCTTTGCTTTTATGCCAACATGAATTGTGCGGTTCAACAGCACGAACCTGTGTTCAATATACTGAAATCAAACCTGTGGATGAAAGCCAAGCCAAAGGTATCGACGAGACTGAGCTCATCCTGGATTTGGATTCTGATACCAATGCACAGCTCTAATCTCCTTGCCACGCCATTGCCTTCACAGGAGTAGTTTAGGTTACAGCTTACTACATGGCCAAAGGGTACATGATGCTTCTGCTGTAAAAAAGGTCACTGATTTTTCCCACTTTTATGCCTGATGTCATAGTAAAGTCAGTTACAACTCCTTCCTGGAATCTGTACAACTTTTGGGTCGCACATAAAGTCAAAACCAAATTCTAGCATGTCTTCCCTGTTGTGCAGATGGAGTTTCAACTGCAAGACAGGCCTTTACCAGGAAGATACCAGAAGGGTCTGGGCACACAACTCATACGCTACTTCCAGCAAAAGGACGGCATGAGAAGCAGAAAACAAGAGGTAACTAATAATGCTCAGCCAGAATTCAGTGTCATTGAGTAGGACCGAGCTTGTACGGAGCTGAGGGGATGACAGAGGCTCTATATGCCGTGGAACAGGGCTAATGTGGAAAATGTGAGGCTCTTCCCGATTTCCATCAGGGGCTTGGACAGAATTCCTCAAGTAGCTGGTCAGTGAACAGGCTAGCTTGCTGAACCAGTAGTGAACTGTATAAAATAAGTATTTCTTGAGGTGTAGCTAGAGCACAATAAAATAACACATAAAGATCGCTGAGCTAGCTCTAAATAAGCTTGACAAGGTCTGAAAATAAAACCATCAAGCTAGTACACAGCTCTTCTCAATGTACTATGGAGCTTCCCGTTCGTGAGCCAGCTCACGTGTCTACAGAATACTTCCTTGGATAATACACAGTGCATAATGCAGCTGGACATCCAGGCCACGAGCTCCCCTCGGCGCAGGGGGGATGCCCAAGGAGGGAAATCAGGAACTCAAAAGAAGATGAAACTTGTTCCGTTGCAAAGCAGTGCACAAGCACAGCACCGGCTCCTCAGACCAGTGTCTTATTCTTCCACTTGTTAGTGCTGAGTGTGCACAAAGAGTGTGTATTTTACACTGATTTGCAGCAGAGGACTGGTAGAGTCGGTTTAACACGACTCATATCACCCCTAAAATAATTCCTGGGAAAGGAATTGGACACAAGGCCACTGGCCTTCTTCCGGCTGGGTAAGGTTCTTGCTTGTCCACGTTCACCTCGTCACTTAAAGCAGCTGCCCTCCTTATATTGTCCTTTTGTTGTTGTTCTCAAGGGTCTCTCGAGATCCAGGAGACAAGATGTGGGCAGGGACAACAGGTGCTGTGCTGACACTGAGCAGCGTGGCTTACAGGACATTTTGGGATCCAAAATCTTCGGCTGCCATTTAGGCCCTTTGGTTATTTCCCAAGTGGGAGCTGACAGGTGGAGCGGCACTTTACGAGCCCACGTTGATGCCGAGGCGTTTCAAAAATCTGGCCCTGACCAGCTGTGCTTCAGGTTTCAGTAAAATGCAGATGATGGTGTAAAGCAGATGCAAGGTAACTGGGAAGACGGGGCTTTTCTGACACGTTTTCTAACTAAACCACAGTAGGAGACAGGAGAGAGTCCCCAGTTTGAGTACAGCAATTCACATTCTTTCACATTCTTTGGCAAAAACAGAGGTTGTATTTGCAAGGACTGAGCTCCGCCCCAGGGGCTGGTGGCAAAGAGCCCCCAGGCTCACCAGCTAAAAGCTGTCAGCGTTTTGGTCATGGAGCATCCACTGCTCCTCAGTACGAACTAGTTATCCCTGCTTAACTTATTCCTTAATCCGATCACTTCTTGATCTACTTTCTAAAGACAGGCCTGCCTTTAATCCTCTTTCATTTGAAAAATCTTTCCAAGCCTTTACTGTTCTTCGTCTCCCTCCCCAGATTACGCACAGGAACGGGGCAGATTGCCCCATCTCTGCCTGAAGGCTGCAGCAATCCCTGAACCCAGACAGCCCCAACAACCCGCTCCTGCAGCTTCCAGGCTGGAGCGTGAATCTACAGGTAACCGCCTCTGATACACGGGGAGGGGAAAAGAAGTGGATGAAGGAGGGAGAGCAAGAGAGAGAAGGACGAGCAGAGATGTAGATCCTTTTTTATTAGGGTATACAGTGGCAGGACCTTCTTCCAAGGAAGTTACTCGTATGGCCCCTTAAAGAGACCCCCTGACAATCTCCATTCAGCCAGGCTTGAGAACGAGGACAGCCTAGCTGAACCAAATTATTGTGGAAAGACGACACAATTCCTGTAGCATTTCAGACCTACAGCAACAAGTTTTTGTGTGATTTCATCGAGTAGCTTATATCGCAAACCCACGAGTCCACATTTTGGCTCGTCACATTGAACGTGCTTCAAAAAGTCATTGACAAAATAAGTATCATGGAACAAGAGAACATGGAAATCGGCTCACGCCACAGAGCCACGCTGCAATATGTCCAACAACATCCATCTTACGGAGCCCAGTGCCAGCTTGTTGACACGACAGGGTGGCAGTTAAGTTCTCTTCAGTTTTCAGGCTTGTTTGGTGGAAAGACCAAAGGAAAGAATTGCTGCAACCTGAATGAGAAGTTATATTCCGTTCAGTATGAGGGTTATTTGCTGCAAAAGCCACAGGAAAAAAACTACTGCAATCTGAAGGAGAATGAGATGGATCACAGATAAAAAAGACTTGATTCGCATCAACAAAAATGCCAAGTGGCAAGACAAAGGCTGGGAGAAGAAGATAACAAGGATAAAAGTCAACTTAAGATAGATAACACTTTGAAGTAGCTAAAGACATCCCAGGGCTGATAACACCATGTCACATTAAAAACAGGGGAGGGAGAGGAACACGTGGGTTTCTACACCTAATCTGAGATAGAATCATAGAATCATGGAATGGTTTGGGTTGGAAGGGACCTCAAAGATCATCCAGTTCCAACCCCCCTGCCATGGGCAGGGACACCTTCCACTGCACCAGGTTGCCCAAAGCCTCATCCAACCTGGCCTTGAACACTTCCAGGGATGGGGCAGCCACAACTTCCCTGGGCAACCTGTGCCAGTGCCTCACTACCCTCATGGTGAAAAATTTCTTCCTTAGATCTAATCTAAATCTCCCCTCTTTCAGTTTAAATCCATTTCCCCTTGTCCTGTGACTACATGCCCTTGTAAAAAGTGATGAACTGGATGTCTTCAGACCTCTTGCTCCAAGGTCTGAGACCCCCCCCAGCACCTTGAAAATTTAGTTATTAATGCTGAAAAAAACAAACCTGTTATTAATTCTTGACAGATACTGTTTAATGCCACCAGGTTATCTGCAGGAGAGAAACCACTGCTCGTTACTGGTTCAAATAAAGTCCCGTAATTCTCAGGTCTCCATCCCAGAAGGCAGGACTGGAACACGCAGGTAATTCGAGAGCAGAAATAACACCGATAATGTAAGCAAATACAGGTGATGAGAACTTCTCGAAAGGCTTACCATAAATCAAATCACGTATATCCAGTTAAAACACCTTTCCCCTTAAAAGAAAAACTGGATGTTATCCTGTAAAAGCCAGAAAGATGATTTCCAAAGGAAATCTTAGCTGATAAGGTCAAGAGTGCACTAAAGGCAGCAAAGATGGGATCAAGTCCTAAAAGAAACAAAACCCATGATGGTTTCCTCAAACAACACCTATTCTCCTTTAGCTTCAGCCACGTAGAATCACATTGTCCTTCACGTGACAAATGGCCGCAACTGGGAGGCTATTTTCAGAAACCAAAAGGTGTCATTTAAAAGGTGGGGGGGTAAAAGGAATCAGGGAAGCCATTGTCCAGAAGCACAGCAGCTCTAAGGTTGATTGGCTACCAGCTTTAGTCCAAAGAAAGCCCAATATCCTACCTTTGAAAAGAACTCCCTGGCCAGTGACTCTGTGAGGTGGTGTCTCCCTCTGGTCTTTTAGCAGGACAGACCTGACTTAAATTTGGAAGTGGCAGCAGTCCAAGCGGCCGTGCTCTGCCCAGTGCCAGCCCAGCCAGGAACTGCCTCCGAAAACAAACCGCAGGAGTACGGCCTGTGACCTTTGAGATTGGCGGGGGGGTAGGGGGGAGCGCGTAATTCAACCCTCAGGGCAAAAACCCAGAGGTGGATTCAGAATTTATGACGGCCCTCTGATTATTCCTAGCACTAAATAAATAATTTATAGTATTGAGTCCATAAAGATCAATACTAAAAAAAAAAAGTCAACTTGGGAATCAGTTGCAAATTCCCTATTACTGTCATTAATTTGGGGGCACACTCTAAAATGGGTGCCACGCTAATTAAACCAAAAAGTGCTTTT